AACTGAGGCAAAAAGAGGTTAAATGATTTGCCCAAGATCATAAAGGTAATAGAGCTGGGTTCCAATTTAGATTTTCCTGACCAAGGCCAGCAGTACACGAGAGCTGTCTTCAAGTTTCTGCATGGTACCCAAAATATAGCAAGAAAAGCAATGTGTAGAAGTTAACATTCTCACAATGTAAAGATTAAATACCTAGCAATTAGAACTATCCAAAGTGGAATGAACTACCCTAGAAGATAGGGAAGGCCCCTTGCAAGAAGTTTTTGAGCAAAGGTTAGATGATTATTTGTTGGGGATGTTGTAGATGGAAGCTTTTTCATGTACAGGTTGGTCTCTGAGGTCCCTAGCAATCACGAAAAACAAACAGAACATTTTTATAAATAAAAATTTTTGAAACATGCCTAAAATTTATTTTCCTCATGGACTCCACAAGTGACATCTTTAAAAAGTCTCAATCAATTAAGAGGTAGAGGTCATAAGAATAATTCTGTAAGGACACACTTAAGGACTTAAAGAAATCTTAAGAAATTCCTAAAGATTATGACCATGTTAAGTCAGTATATCTGCCTTGAAGGTCTTTCTTCAAATACTTCTGAAAGCTGCTAAATAGGTTGAAAAGAAGTCTAATCAAACAAATATATTTTCTTCTATTCACAAATATTTCTCATGACACCAAGTATTCATCATGAAGTGATGATTATATGTAATTTAAAACAAAAAAAAAAGCTTGAAAGGATGAAATGAAATAATAACAATTTAGCATGGCACACAAAAATAGCCAGCAATGGGATACTGATTATTACATGTAACAAATAATCTAGGGGAAATAAGGACTGTCTAAAACTGGAAGGAGACCTAGAGGCCTGAAACTGAAAGAACTGGTTATATAAATGAGTTTATTTACTGAAATACCTTTCAAAAACAAATCAAGGGCAGCTAGGAGGTACAGTAGATAGAGCTCCAGCCTTGGAGTTAGGAGGACTTGAGTTCAAATGTGACCTCAGATACATGACACTTACTAGCTGTGTGACCCTGGGCAAATCACTTAACCCCGACTGCCTCACCAAAAAAAAAAAAAACAAAAAAACCCCTAAATAATCTAACAAACTCAGATTATTGCATTACAACTGCATAAACTATCTCATTAAAAGCAGGAGAAAATGAGCTGTTCTTTCTTCTAGACCAGGGATGGGGAACTTGCAGCCTGGAGGCCACATGTGGCCCTCTAGATCCTCAAGTTCGGCCCTTTGACTGAATCCAAACGTCACAGAACAAATCCCCTTAAGGAGTTAGGGCCGCACTTGAGGACCTAGAAGGTCACATGTGGCCTCCAGGTTGCAGGTTCCCTATCCCTGTTCTAGACCTTAGCAATTTGCAGGTTTGAAGAACTTCAACACCTGAGATTTCCTAGATGTGGGCACTCTCATCACTGACACATTAAAACCCTTCTATGTTTTAGGAAAATGTTTCATGAGATGCTGAGGCCAAAAAATTCTATTGCCTGGTTACTGACCTTCTGGTGGTGAGCTGCTCTGAACCAACCGTTATGGTATAGTTTATAGTAATAGATTTGGAGTCATATGTGTGTTCAAATCTTAACTCTACCACTTATTATTTGTATGTTCTTCTGCATGTCACTATTTCTCTAGTCCTTAGTTTCCTTATCTGTAAAATGGGGCTAGTACTTATACTATATTTATTGTGAGATTCAAATGGGATAGTTTATGTAAGTGCTCTATATATCATATTATGTCAGCTATAATTAACATATTAGCCAGCGTGGTCTTCATACAAATTTGTGCCCATATTCAAAACTTGTTCAGCTTTGCCAGAAACTGTGCTCCAATAGGTCAACATGCATTTATTAAGCATCAGAATATACCAGGCACTATGCCGAATGCTGGGGAAACAAAGAAAAGTAAAAAAAAATGGTCCCTTCCTTCCAGGAACTCACATTCTAATGGGGGACACAGTATGTAAAAATAACTAGGATAAGATAGACAGATGATAGATATATACGTATATGTGTGTATTATGTATACATATGTATATGTGTATATGTAAATACATATATAGTAAATAAAACATAATCTCAGAGGGAAAGGTAATATAGCAATTGAAGAACGTGGAAAGGCTTCCTATAAAATGTGGGATTTGAGCTGAGTCTTAAAGGAAGCCAGGAAAACTAAATGGCAGAGGTGAGAAAAGACAGCAATCCAGGTATGGGGTGGAAAAAGATGGGATGTGGGAGACATTGTGATGTATGAGCAATAGTAATTAGGCCACTGCAGCTTACTGTAGAACATGTGGAGAGGAGCAAAGAAGATGGGAAAGATAGCATGGGGCCAGGTTGTGAAGAGCTTTAAATGCCAGGTGAATTTATATTTGATCCTGGAGGCAAAAAGAAAACCACTGGAGTTTGCTGAGGAATTGCAGGGGGAGGGGGGCAGTGTGGCATGGGGCAAACCTAAACTTTAAGAAAATCACTTTCAAAACAAGGGTAAAGGATGGATTGGCAGGGAGACCAATTAGAAGGTTATTTCAACAATACTATTTTAATAATATTAAGATAGTTTAATTTAGAATATGGTAAATATCAACAGATAAAGCCCACATAAAAGTTCTTTGGGGAGTCCTCAATATTTTTTTAGAGTGTAAAGGTGTCCTGAAACCAAAAAGGTTGAGAACTGTCCTCATAGAACCTAGTGTACTGTGGACACCATAGTTAATGGGCATGTTACAGATGAAAATCCAGAAAAGGAGACTAAGAGAGAATGTTCACATAGGTAGGAGAACCAGAAGAAAGTAATGCAATAAGGGAGAGAAAGCCGTAGATGGTCAAGTGTCAAATGCTGCTGAGAGGTTAAGAAAAATGAGGATTTCAAAAAGTATTTAGTATTGGCAAATTAAAAACCAATAGAGTAGTTTAAGTTGAATGAATCAAGTGAGAGTAAAGAAGTAGTTATTTAGTGTAGACAGCTTTCTCAAGGAGTTTAGCCACACACTTGGCAGGCACAGTAGGATCAATTAAGGGTATTTTAAGGAAAGGAGATATTTTGTAGGCATTGGGGAAGGATGAGTCTTGAAGGAAACCAGGAAATGAGGAGGAAGAGTATCTGAGGCATGGGGGACAGCAAGAGAAAAGCTACACAGTTGGGAGATTGTGTCACAGTCAAAAACCAAGAAGGCCAGTGTTGGAAACAAGTAAAGTCTAAGAAGACTGGAAAGGTAACAGAGGGCTGAGTTGTGAAGGGCTTTATAAGGCAAACAGAGAATTTTTATTTGAATTCTGGAGGTAAAAGAGAGAGCCACTGGAGTTGAAGGAGGTGGAGGGCAACACGAGAAGACCTATTCTTTACAAAGATCACTTTGACTAGTGAAGAATGCTAAGTGAAGAATAACCTGGAGTAGAGGGAGACATGAGGCAGAGAAACAAATCAGCAGGATATTGTAGTAGTCCAGGTGATGAGGCCCTGGCAACTCTGAAAAAAGCAGACATACAGAAAAGATGCAGTGAATGTTGAAACCTCAAAATTTGATAACAGATTGTGTAAGTGAGACAAGTTCAAGTGAGAAGTAACATAGCCTTCCAGTTTTATTTCATAGAGTTCTCCTCTACACAGTCTTCATTCTAGGCAAACTGGAACACTAACTAGCTCTTTCTTGAACTCAGCATTCTAGTTTTTACAGGATCACAGATTTAGGACTGGAAGAAGGGCTGAAAGTGAACTAAGGCCCAGAGTGGTTAAGTGACTTGCCAAAGTGTTATTATGAAGTAAGGAGTAAATTTGAAGTTTGAGACCAGGTCCACTTAAATTCCAGTATTCTTCCCACTATGTTGTGCTGCATTCCTTTTCCATGCCTTTGAAAAGGTTATCTCCCATACTGGAATGAATTCCCTCCTCATTTCCAATACTCCATATTTTATCTTTCTTCAAGGTTCAACTCAGGAACCATTTTCTCCAAAAAGCTTGCCTGGATCTCCCTACTATTTACTTTTCTGTATATGCTTCGACTCTCAATACGATGTAAGCTCAAGAGTGGAGCGTGTCTTATTTTTTGCATTTGTATTGCCACTACCTAGCATAGTCACATATAAAGTAGGTGTTTAACAACTGTGCTGTTAGACACCATAACTGAGATCACAAACATGACCTTAAGAACTTTTTGCTTTTCCAATGTAACTACACTAAACCTAGTAAGTCATACATCATATTCATGATAAAAAACAGTCTTAGAGTAGGACTTGATGGAACTAAAAGTAAAAGGCTGATGAAACACGAAATTGTAACCTCCATGAGGGCAGTATACTTCCTCTTGCTTTTGGAAAAAAAAAAATCTTTCGCAGTGCTTAGCAGTAATAGTAATGATAATAATGACAAAAAATAATAATAGCTACTATTCCAGACAGTGCTTATTATGCGCCGCGAACATTACTAAGCACTTCACAGTTCTTATCTCATTTGATCCACAAAACAACCGCCGGAGTTAGGTTTACAGATTAGAAAACTGAGGCTCCGACAGGTTTAAATGATTTCACAAGGGTCCCACACACAGCAGAGCTGCGACTGGGGCCGCGTCTGAACTTCGATCTCTCCCCCACGCCTCTCAGGGCTGAGAGCCGGGCTTCCTCGGATCAGCATGGAGGCAGCACCAAACTGTGAAGCAACAACTTTGTCTTTCTGTTGGCAAAGTCCCAACGATCTCGGTTCAACAGCAGGCGGCATTCATGCCATTACCATGCAGCCAGAAGCCAGGATGAACAAGCGCTTCACGCAGAGAAAAGCCCCTGACCGCGCGGAGCTGGGGTCCCGGCCCCCGCCCCGCCCTCCCCCAGCGCACAGGACGCGGACACCCCGGGTCTCCCCTTCACCCCTTCCCATTCCGGAAGCTTATCAATGCCCTGCCTCTCCCGTGAGAGCAAGGAGCCCGGGGCAGGGAGGAAAGGCCCAGCTCCCGGCAGCTCGGGCCGCGCTCGCAACCCTCCGACCCCGCCTGACCTTGACGGAGGTCGGGATCCTCCAGCACGTCGTAGGCCGCGTAGCTGGTGACGCCGTGCAGCCGCAGGATCTGCACCACGGCGTTGCTGAAGCCGCACTGGGGCTGCTGGGGGGTCCCCTTCAAGAACACCACCACCTTGTCCTTCTTCACGAGAGCGTCAAGATGCTCCCTGGAGGCCAAGCCCGACCCCCCGGGGCCCGAGCTCCGAGTCCGCAGTGCCGGGCCCCGCAGGAGGACCCCGCGCCCCAAGTGAAGCAGAGCTGCGGACGCTCGGCCTAAGGACCCGCTCATCTCCCCCCACCAATCGTCCTCCCGGCCCAGGACTATCTTGTAAAACCGTTCCTTGGTCCGAGCACCCGCGCCTCCTTGTCCCGCCCCCCAGCTGCGGCCCTATTGGTCAAAGATTTGAGAACTAATGGGGATTGGAAGAATTTTACTGTCAGTCCTCAGAAACCACCAATCATTTCACTGTGCCCCTTGCCGAGGGCGGGGGGCGGAGGAGAGATGGAGTACGGTCTTTACGCCTTCCACCATACCCCACCTTTTTTCTTTCACCTAGAGACAATCTATTTTTACGTTGATTGGAAGTGTCAGGTGCCCGTCGGTCAGGTTAGGAAGCCAATGATAGGTAAGAAGGGAGAATAATGATTTTCCTGCGAAAAAACTGGTTGGCTGGGTTCTTTAGGGGCGGGCTGTGGGAGGATCGAGAAAACCTGTTTTCAGTTTTAACCAACTCCTCAGGAGGGGCGGGGGGAGGAGGAGGAGCCGGTGGCGACCGCGTTTACGCCATTTCCTGGGACCGGTTTTTCTTCTTCCGGTTGATGATGACTTAGAGTTGTCATGGTAATGCAGCCCAGGAGGCCTCGGGTCTGCGGCGGGGAGGACGGGAGGAGAAGAGAGGCGCGTGCTCCGTCTCCATATCCCTGCAACAAAGGTTAGTAGTTTTCGGGGCCCGGAGGAGGCGGATGGAAGGGCGAGGGACAACGTTTAACGTGTCTGGACCCTAACGCGGGGCCTGGGCCATTCCCCGACGGTCGCGGTTGGCCGTGCGCGAGCCCGCCTTCTCGCATGCCGCCCCCGTGCGCAGGCCGCATCGCCCCCTGGCGGTTGGAGCTTCCTTGGAGGCCCGAGAACAGGGTCCCTTCCTCAGGCCCGCGACGGAGGAACCTTCCGGCCCTGTGCTCCGGTCACGTGGCGGGGGCCCCTGGGGCTGGGGAGGGGTCTTAGGTAGGTCTTCTCGATCTTTTGATGGAATCCCTTCCTATTTACAGTTGAAGAAGCTGAGGCCCAGCTACTCAAGTCGCCACTCAGTTCCAGGACCTCATCCCCTCTCTCCTGGACCATGGCAGCAGCCTCCTCCTTGGTCTCCCTGCCTCCATCCCTTCCCCTGCTCAGCGGCCAGAATGCTTTTTCTAAAGTCCAGTCGACCTTCAATAAATTTGGGTGCTTCCTCTCTTGTCTCTATGATAAAATATGAAGGAGTTGTTTTGTTTGTTTGAACTTTTAAAGCCCATCACAACTTGGTCCCAACCTGTCTTCCCTCCTATTTATGTAGTACTCTCCATAGGCCCCCCAGACTTGCTTTCTTTCCGGTGAGCTCTCATCTCCACGCCTTTGCACTGACTGCCCCCATGCCTAGAATCCACTTCTTCACCTTCACCTCCTAGAAGCTCTCCTCAAGCATCACCTGCATGAAGCCTTTCCTGACTCTCGAAAGTTGCTAGTGCTATCCTTCCCTCCTTTGTATTTAATTAACCCTGTATTTCTTTTGGACACGTTTATTCTTTGTGTATTTCTGTGTGACCACATATACACACATAGTAAATATGAATATATGCCCAATAAATATAGATATCTGTCTGTAGATATACATACATGTTGTTTCTACTGATTGAATGTAAATTCCTTTATAGCAAGGACTGTTATATTTCTTTGCCTTTGTATCTATAGCATCTAGCACAGTGCCTGGTATATAGGCAATTTAAAGTTAGCTGACTGATTGGGGTTATGTTCGCAATAAACAACATAGCAGGGGTCTACTTCCAGTCTTATGGCTCCAGAATCAGTGTACCATATACATACTCACTTTCTTTTACTACTATCCTGCCTCCGCTTCATATCCTCTGCCTGATCAAGTCAAGCCACAAATCTTGCATGGTTCATTTTAGAACAGAGCTTCAAATTTTCCTGATCTCTATTTTTAAATTTTTTTTTCAGGTTTGAGCAGGAGTTTAATTCAAGGAGTAAACATCATAATCATCCCTTTGAAGTTCTCTCACCATTGGAGTTAACTGCAGATTGGCCCAGTTATGGAAGAAACATTGAGTAAAAGCAATTGCTAATAGAAAAGGACAGGTATAGATTTTTTTTCACTCTTGTTAATTATTTGGAATGTATGTAACTGTAAAGGTTGTTTTATTTTGTTTGTGCGATGTGCCCAAGGCCATAAGTGAAACCCACAGGATAAGAACTCCAGAAAAGATAGGGCGTTTTCTGAATTTTTGAACAACAAACATGAGAATTTAAATATATGCCACTAATTGATGCAGCTCATAAATTTATTATTCCCTCTTCTGCCTAACATCAGTAAGTGATTCAGGGAAAAACAGTTTTAAGTGAAATGGTTTTGGGGGGCAATGCCAAAGGAACAGTGTTATAAATGGTCTGTTCATTTACAGATATCATTCTGTTACCATGAGTGACTTACTTTGTGCAGTAGGGTGATGGGAGAAGAGAGTCCAGATAAGAAAGGTCTTGAACCCCAGGTCTTCCTGACACCAAGACCAGTGGACTATCAACTATGCTATGCTGCCTTTCAGTTTGGTTATTACTCAGTTTCAAGAAACATTTATTAGGGGTCTCAGTGTTCCTGTGAGTGCTTTAGGGGAGAGGGGAGGATACAAGATTTAGATAAAAAACAGTACCTACCATAATGGAGCTTGCAGTCTAACAAAGGGCTGTAACTCAGGTATATTAAAAATACTGTTATGAAGGGACTTGATCAGGGTATTCCAGTAGGACTTTTGTAATCTTTAGTTCATCCTTTAACACTTAAGAGGCTTTACAGAAATGTTTAAATTGTCTGCAGTCTTGGAATGCTCTGGGTTGTTTGTGCCTCTGAGTACACCTGACTTGCAGAAAGAACATATTCCAGAGGAAGCTGAGGCATGGCTGTTAAAGGACGAACAGCATTATGTGCAATATTCCTCTGACATCAACTGAATACTGTTGCCACGGTGATGGTGACTCTTCCATGTCATTATCTATCAACCAACAGTAAGAGAAGCTTTGCAGTCAAGATATTGTTTAGCAAATGGAGAGATTTTTGCTGAACACTAAAAACTGCTATAAAAATGTTTCAAGCCTCAAATGTTCTTTTGAAAAATGTTTTTGTCACACTTGATAACATTTTTGTATCCAAATATGTTAGTGCTGTAAGGGACCTTGGAAACAATCTAGTTCAACCTCCTTATTTGTACCTGGAGAGATGAAATAACTGCTTAGGTTCGTACCTGGATAAGTAGCAAAGCCAGAACTTAGAACTTCAGTCTTCATACTCCACCTCTAGTTATCTTGACCATATCATACTGCTTTTGTTATTTTTTAAAATCTGAAACACTGATTTAACTAGCTTCAAATGCTATTGGGAATTCTTTAATAAGCGCCTTCCTGGAAATTGATCCAAAAAATCTGAAAATAAATTACAGTTCAATTATATTTAATATTTCAAAACTCCTGTTAATGAAAAGTTCTATGGAGGCAGGCAGCATGGTGTAGTATGGGTAGAGTGCTGGGATTGGAGACCTGGATTCAAATGCTGCTGTTGGGAGTGAGGTGGGGGTGTGCAGAACAAGTCATTTAACTTTCATGTACCTCTTGACGATTCCCTAGAATCATAGCCTTAGACTTCAGAGGGCGTCTGAGCCCAGCCCAGTGTTCTTAGAAATGAAGGATCTGAGGTACTGAGACTATGTATGTACTGAAGTACAGTCTCAAACGAATAAGGGTCTACTTATTTACTAAGTCATTGATGAATTAACTGCCTTGGTGAAAGGACATCCTACACCAGGAATTATTCCTTTGTGTATTTGCATATTCCATCTCTTCCACTTTTGCTTTTGCTGATTTTAGGCTACAAACTTCTTTAAATTGCTTGGTGTCTTAAATAATTTTTTGTGGTTTTTCTTTTTCAGGTTCAAATGATGCAGGGTAAATCCAAGGAACAAGTGTAAATATATGTAGAATTGCCTGTTGTGCTGAAGCATTACTCTAAGTATGTTTCTTTGTTAGAAGGTTATCGTACTATGGATTTAACATTGTCATCTAGTATATATTTTTCCCAAGGTAATCTAGTTCCATACTTACATTATTATAGCATGATTTCAGCAAATTTAAAGGTAAGGTACATTTTTTGGTTTTGGGGGGTGGGGTTTGGCTAGGCAGTGCAGTTAAGTGACTTGCCCAGGGTCACATGGCTAGTAAGTGTTTTGTGTCTGAGGCCAGATTTGAACCAGGTCGTCCTGAATTCAGGGCCAGTGCTCTATCCGCTGCGCCACCTAGCTGCTCCAATCATTTTTTGTTTTTAAAAAGCATTAGGAATTTTAATTCCTAGAACCCTGAAAATACGTTTTATACAGTATTTAAAAAATTTCAGTGCTATGATTTTGTTGGTGTTTGTATTCCTCCCGCCTAGGCTCATTAAAACCCATAGCCGACACCAGTGATAAACCTGTCTAAAGTTAGCTGGGAGTTAGATTGCTACTTAGAAAACAGAAACAATAGAGCTCCAGCCTTGGAGTCAGGAGGGCTAGAGTTCAAATCTGACCTCAGATACATGACACTTACTAGCTGTGTGACCCTGGGCAAGTCACTTAACTCCGATTGCCTCACCAAAAAGCAAAAAAAAAAAAAAGAAAAGAAAATAGAAACATAATCTGTCACTCTGTGATTACTCTATAAATTAGCTAAATCCCAACTTTACTGGGGATAAAAATGCAAACTTTTTCCACAGAGCCATGGCATTAGGCAATAAGGAGTAACAGGTCTTTCATCATAATGGTTAAAAGTGGTGTTACTTTTTTTTTTTTTTTTTTAAAGTATCAGGTGCTTCTCCTTTATCCATTTGAGGCATGCAGGGGTCAGGAGGAATACTTTTTTTAAAAAACATTTATAGAGTGCTTTAACATTTTGCAAAGTTCTTTACATAAATTATTTCCTTTGGTCCTCAGAACGAACTCTGTGACCTATGATGTAAGTGCTATTATTATCCCCATGTCACAGACGAAAGGACTGGCATTCAGGTTAAGTGACTTGACCAGAGTAATATAGTTTATAAATGGTCAAGCTGAGGTTTAAACATA